GCCAGTTCTGTCAGTTCTACCAGTTCTGATCTTCTCATGGTCTTCAGTTGGACCAATTAGCCCCTCCTGACGATTTACTCGTCGAAATCGAGGACCTGCTCGTAAGATCCTGCAGGAAGATCAATAACAGTTGACTAGAAAAAGACACTGGCTGATGTGATCGATCAGAGGAGCTACTTGTGTCTAAAGTCTCCCTTTGTCTACTGTAACACACCTGACTCCGTGTCCAAGTCTCCAGGTTATTCCTTCACGGTATTCTGATCCGTTCATCCGCCCCCCCTCCGACTCCAGTACGCCCAGCTCATTCATTCGTCCACGATTGTCCACATCCGAGCCATGCTACTGCTCTTTGGTTGGATAGCATGACTGATTGCGTTGCTCTAGGACTATCTCTTAACGCGGTTTGCAGTCCCGTGCGCAACTGCCTCACCTGATTTCACCTATGAATACGTTTCGTGGCACTCGCTTGGAGAAACCTTACACTCCGTACCGCTTGTAAGGACACTATCCAAGAGGCTCTTGACAACATCTACTAAGACCAATAGGTTTATGAAAAGTCAGAAAGCTAAATGTACGCCCAATTTAACTGGCTCGCACTCTAGCACTTCCCGTTCATTCCAACTAACATCTAGAATTATTGCTCCATTGCAGGTGACAGTAACATAATGTATGGACTGTGCTTTCGGCCTGCTGCTGAAAAGACTCATCTCGCGTTTACCAAACGGCAAAGGCGGCAGTCAAAGGGATGCGTCACGTTATGAGCGCATTACAATCAGGTCCAGCCTAACTTCCTGACCATCTCTAGGCAAGGCTTGCATATACCCGCCTGATCACATGTCAGTCCTCCGTGAATACCGGCGCTTACTTGTTGGACAGAAGATCTGGGTGACAATTCCATGAAAACGGAGCGCATGATTGGAGTGGCTAGAAGAAGAGGACCTTACAAATCTTTTGTTGGCTAGGGCCTTCTTTTGGCCTTGGAAACTGACCGCAGCCTACAGTACATGCATTCGTCTGAGCCATCAATAATTGACTAAACCGTTAACAGCTATTGGCTAATATCCTCGACGGGATGATGAATCCACAAAGCCAATCTGATTGGAAATGTGTCTGTCGTACTGCCTTGCAGGAATCATTGAATGCACATACGTCATTGTATCTCACTGACTATACAATGCTCATATTGGGGATTGGTAACAGCACTCCAAACCAAATGAGTTTCAGAGCCTTGAGCGATATATATCCCTTACATAAGTAGCTTCGGAGCTAAATAATATCTGATATGCTCTGCTAATCGAGGATATGCATGGAAGAGGATGAGCATACTAAGCTTGATTTATGGCCCGAAGATATCTGCACACGGACCGCGATAGTCTATGCTAACATCATGTCGGCTTAGTAAGTAACAGTACCATTAGTTAATTAACTATCTTACTCTAGTTATTTACTGACTAGTACTTTTCTCTCATTTCGATGGTGGTAACAGCTTGACCTGGCTATGTTATTCCATTTAGGGGATGCGGCATAGCGGAACTGACAAGATACAGGCACCGATGCTCCCCAATAAACGATCAGAAGGCTCGACTAGCTAACTCTATGTTCTTTGACCAGATATGACTCGACCCCACTATGAAGACTGACCATCATCAAGGGTCTGTTCTGATTTGCTGGCATTACCGTGGGAAGCCCTTGCTTTTTGCCCCCAGATGATGTACTGCCCTACTATGATGTCTCCCACCGGGGAGTCAAAATATACGACCTCGTTTATGACGAAAATTCGAATGAATCTCCTATATTGAAGTGGGTAAGTGAGCTGCCACTTTAAAAATCGGTACAAACCGTGTTTCTAGTCGTCATACCGGCTCAAAGCGACCGGATGGGAGGCCTTGCACCATACAACAAAGCTTGCGTGTCCCTGTGAGATTCCATGAATCCGCATAGCTGATGTGTCTCACGTATAGACATACAGAATTGACCAAACTTAACTATCATCCAGCCTCGAAACCGCCAACGTCCATCAGAACTCTAAATCGAAGGGTGCCATTCAGCAACAAAACGTTCGAACATTTCCAACCCAGCCAGATGAGCCTGTTTCTGCAAGCGATATGAAGCCCGGGCCATCATAACAACTCAATGAAATGCATAGCTCCTGCAATGGTCAGGGATGAGCTCTGTAAGCTTTGTTGCAATCTATGAGTAACAGACTTGAGGTGGCGTTGGAACTAATATATATACTAGTATGCGATCTAGAGCTTCCCTAACCCGCACAGCGTACGCCTCCCACTTACAACACAACAGCTCCTCAGCTCACGCGAACCTAAAAGCTTCCGGGATTTTCGACTTCCTCCCCTCCACCACCCTGCTGCAGTCATAGTCAGTGTGTCACCGACAGATCGGATATCAAGCGGAATAGTGATGCAATGATAACATAAGGACCTTGTCTGTTTGTTCGACCGGTGCGCGCACACACAAACATCCGGAGCCTTGAAAAGCTGTTAAACGTTACCAAAGAGCACTGCAGCAAACGGCTACTACTATACCCGTCGCCTTAAGGCTACAGTGGCGCGAACAGCTTTCTCCAAGATCTAGACTACCACTGATCCCTGCGGTGTATCCGAGCCTCTTACGCGTAAAAGAGGACTAAGCGCAGCTATAGTGTTTCCAGTGACGCTTAGCGCATAAATAGCTTTTTTTTGCCTATCCTCAATAGATGGTCTAGATCTATGTGGTGATCCTGGAGATAATCTCATTTCATGCATGGTCCGGGATCCCTTATCTCAGCCTATCTCACCCTTCTCTTCTTTAGAAAGACATTAGATGCCATGTATAGATGCTCATCTTACCACTGCATCTCCACTTCCGAGTCTATGCAGTAGAGTAATAATACCCATGAGGGATAGATTGCGTAGACTGCCCTGGATACAGTGCATGTGTGTAGGGAGCCGTGACGCCCTTTCATGCAGGATGGACATCCTGCATTTCATTTTCGCTAATCTCTTTGCGCTTATTGATCTGTTTCTTCATTTATTATATGCGTTCCTCAATCATATAAGCTTGAGAGCAATGAAGAAGCAACGAACAAGCCAGGTGGAATTTGCATATGGACAGACCAGATTACTACTCCGTCACGTGAGCTTCAACAAAGTAAAGGGCGTATTGAAGGCAACTACGTGCTTCGAAAGGGGATATACCTTGATGACAGTATTTCAGGAGTGACTGGGTAGACATTGTATGATTTAAGGTGCATATTATTTTAATATGTGTATTTTACTAGTCACCGAGACATGCAGTCACATTTATTAACCTCCTATTCTCACGGGTGGAAGCTGATTGAGTCAACAACATCATCTTCATAGATTACACATAATCACGCATTCTGGATATCATAGACAGGCATATGAAGGAAGCAAAAACTTGCGGAATATTATATGTACCGAACAAAAGCAAAACGCTCAGCCCGCTCTCGGGCGTGGACCAGTAATGGCGAAAAAGTCCAACGGTTTCACGGTGAACGCGCCATTGTAATTGTTACCCGCACCATCAGTGACATAGTTCTTGTCAGCGAGTTCGAACTCGACATCCTTGAGGATGCTGACGAGGGTGAAGTAAGACCATTCCCAGGCATATTTCTTTCCGATGCAAACACGCTTGCCGTTACCGAAGCCCTTCTTTACCGCGGAGGGTAGCTTTTCGTATGCTTCGCCCATCATGCGCTCTGGCTTGAATGCGTCGGGGTCTTCGAAGACGGCGGGGTCGCGGTTGACACCGTACAGGACTGCGATGAGAGCCTGTTTGCGCGGCACTTCGTACTCGCCGCCGGCAAGTAGGACCGGGCCATCCTGGTCTTGAATGGCTTCGCGGTTGAAGCCGGGGGCTGGAGCGGCAAGGCGCATGGTTTCTTGGGCGATGGCAAGGCAGTAAGGGAGGCGGGAGAGGTGCTCGTGTTCGATCTTCGCACCGGGGCCGCCGACAACAGCGTCAATTTCCTCCCGGGCGCGTTTGATCACATGCGGGTTCTTCATGAGGTAGTAAAGGCCGAAGGCGACGAGGTTAGGGGCTGTCGCGCTGCCGATGAATACGTTGATGATCTCGTCAACGATTTGTTCGTCGTTTAGTCCTTCGCCGGTCTCGGGGTCCTTGCCCTCCATAAGAGCATACAGCATGTCCTTCTTGGCGGACGGGTGAGCGCGCCGGTATTCGACGCAACTGGCCGAGTACTTTCGCAAGGTATTGTTGTAAGCATTGAATTTGCGCTGGTAGAAAAGCCAATTGACGAGTTTGAGTCGGGATGCTCGACGAACGGCCTCTGTAGTGGCGTTCTCCATGGCTTTGATGAGAGACGGCTCGGGGCCTTCCAAGCAGTGTAGGCGCTGGTCGAAGAAGCAGAGCATGTTGGCTGCGTGGTTGAGGCGATCCAGGTCGTTGGTGACGCTGACGCGCTGGCGGGGGCCGGCGGTCCATTTCTTGATCAGATCCGTCGATACCTCCCGCATATCCGCGAAGACCTGGTCAACGGCCCCTGGTGTGAGCAGGGGGGCCATAATGCGATGAGCAACTCCCCACTGGCTCATTTCCTTTTCATTTATCTTTGCAGTGAACAAGCTGGAGTGTACTGCTTCGCGAATTTCAATGATGGGGCCGGCCACACATTTCTGAAAGCGGGTCTCATCGCAGATTTCCTCGAGAAGGGCGGCTCCCGTGATCAAGACGATGTCTACGCCTAGGATGGTGACTTTGCAGATGGGACCTGCGAAGCGAATCGGAATCACATCAGCGATGGAACTGTGTGAGAAACACGAGAAGACTTACGGTACTTGGCCGCGAGTTTGTTAAATGAGTTCCATGGGTTCGCAGCATTCACATCCTTCACGTTGCCGAGGAGGAACACCCCCGGGGGCTTGGGAATTGGTGACGGCATGGTTTGGAGATTTGGGGAGACAAAGGGATTAGAAGCAGAAGAGCAGTCAGAGCCCAGGACAGCAGTCCTAGCTTATATAGTCTAAACCCACCATTCTCAACGCGAACGTGCGCCCCTGCAGCCTGTCTTCTCTCGCCCGTGCGACCTCCATCCAGGCGGTCGCTATTATGGATAGTCTGCACGAATGTGGGTGGCTGCAAATCTCATCTGAGCTGAATCTCGCCGAAGATCCCTCCGATAGTTGGCTGTCCGCTCCCTTGGGAGCTCCACCGTCGCAATCTCAGTGGCCCAGGCGTTCCATACGAGGAGCCGATCGCCGCACAGATCATGGTTCGTGGGGAACAGAGTGAGCTTCCTTGCTTGACGCGACGGCAGGAATGCCACTCACGGTGGACCAATTGTCAGCGGGACACTCGGAAAGTGAAAAAGTTAAAACTTGAAAAGGGGCTGGCGGTGTACTGTCTAAGGGCATCGTCCTTCTTGGAGAGCCAATGAAGTCAGTAGTTGATTATGAAAGGAGATTCAGTCGAGAAGCAGAACGACGAAAAGTGTTCTTGGAACAACACTAAGATCGATCAATGAATGGATTTGTTTACTCGATTGTCTGGTGCCGTCCCGGTACCCGAGGAGCTGATCCGATCTCCACTCTTCGGTCTTCCTCCATTGAATGCCAGAGCCAGAGATTGTGAGTGACATCCCTTGGTTTGGTGGCGTCGAGTGCCAGCGCTGACAGAAGCAAGAATTGACGTGAGGTTACACACGCTGGTTGTTGGTCAGGCATACCCAGCTGGCTGGATGGCAAAGCCGATCAATGAGGATGTGAACCCTCGCAGGCAATCACTCCCTCCCACTGACTCGGTGGCATGCTTTAGTCTCTTGGGATTCTGCAGAATCGCGGCCTAAGTGGGCGCGAAAACTAGCCGAGATCGTCAGAGATAAGCCAATCCGACAGAAGGAAGAGCTGAACTGGGTGATGGTGGTGCTGGTGATTGGTAAGTGAGACAAGCCAAAGTTTTGAGAGGTGTCACTCTTCCCCGCCCGGGAAGACTCACTCGCGCGCAGCTCAGCTCGGCTGTTTCTTCCTCGCCATATCATCATCTCCATACCTGCAGAGTTTATTTGAGATGACCTGGCAATACCATGCTGATCCCCAGAAACATTTGTGGATGCACCATGATGGCGACCTGTCGGATAGAAAAGCCGAAAGAGCTCACCGATTACTTGCACTACATGGGAATACGGGATCGGGGTCCTGATCGGCGCCATGACAGCACGACTAATGGATCAACATGCATTCGATAATTTAGCTCGCCTATGAAACCTGCATCTGACTGTCATCGCCAGCACTATTCATACATCTGGTCTATCAATCAAAAATGGCACCCGCCCAGTGGTATCTCAAACGAAAGTATCGCCATACAGGGGACTGTGAATGTTGAATAAAGAACCTCTTCTGTTTAACTCCTTCAAACACCATGCTCCAAGGAAATAGTCTATACCCATAATGTCATGCGTGGTTGATTGTGGTATCAATAAGACAATCTCAGCGCGTCGAACTCAAACATCAGCTGGCTGTCCATCAGGAGAAACGACTCGTATCGGAGGCCACGTTCGCGCTGGTACGCTTCCAACCACACGGGGACGCTGCTGTTCCAAACGCTGCCATACCCCTCGAAAAGCCTGCGCCAGTAACAGGCCTCGGCTGCTTTGGTCAGGTACCGCTCGCGGAAGGTTCGCACGCTGTTGTTGGCAATCCGCTCCGCAAGACTGGGGTCGGCCAACAGAGGTTCGAGCTTGTCTGATAAGTCGCTGAAATCCCGCTCAACTTCGACATAGTTCTGCTGCGGCCCGTCTGGTACGAGAAGGTAGTGGTGGTGCTGGATATACTGCAGCTTATGCGCCACAATGACCGAGTTGCATGCTTGCCGGTACTTCAGTGACGCAGAATACGAGCGACCTGCATCACACATCCCAGTCAGTACAGATGCGGTCGGGCATCGCTAGCATTTAAGGGCAATAGCTTACCTTCGACATGAGCGATGAACATATACTGACAATGATCCTCCATGGGTATTATGTTCGTCCTCTGATCCCAGTCGACCTGCTTCACATCCCCCCATGGTTGATCTCGCGCAGCTTCCATCAAGGCGCGGCGCAATTTGGGGGCGAAGCTAGGCTTTCCTCGCCAGACCAGCTGCGGTTTCTTCTCTGACCAAGGGATATCTGCGCGTTTAATACGGTTAACAACTTGGTCGTACGGCCCGATCGAATTCTGAATATTCTCCCAGGCCCAGAACCCGAAGTCAGGCATTAGCCAGACAGCCTCCTCCGTGGCAGATCGTGCCAAGGTCCACACAGGATGGTCGGAGTTCGTCACGTCTTCTACCTTGTCCTCCACGGAGAACACAAACTCGATATCTCGTTGCGAGGTACGATTGGCATCGGCGACTAACGCCCGGTGAATTGAACTCAGTACGGCGACGATCTTACGTCGATGGTCTTCACCTTTGGACCGCGCCGCGACCACATAAAGCTCGCCGGCGTGGATAAACGCCCGCGCCATGCCATATGCTAGAGGAATCTCGTCCAAGTCCTCCATAGCCAGCGCACCCTGAGACTTCCAAAAGCCCGTGGCGCGAACAACATCTTCGAAAAGACCGGGGAATGCATTCGTACACTGGGCACGATCAAGACCTTCATTGCTGCTGTCTCGAGCAGGTTGAAATTCCCATGCCGGAGCTGGGGACAGTTGTTGCACTAGGCCCGGATGTGAACATGTCAGACAGCTGGCGCACTGGAAGGTGGTGGAGGTTTGACAGGCGCAGTGTCCGGCGGGGATCAACTGGGTCAACAGTGGGTGAACATAGTCGCGATCGGTATTGACGCAATACCAGATGATGATGATGCACAAGAAGCTCAGAAAGCCTGTGATGTAGAAGAGGCAGAGATGATAGCTTTGTCGAAGGCGCCAGCGAGAGCAACCGGAGAGCGCCATCGCGAAAGGGCAGACGAAGAGAGATGAAACTGGGTGGAAATGGATCGCATTGTAAGGGCAGTCGCACCCAGGTCAAGGGGAAGAGGTGGAGAAAGCGCCGAAGGGGACGGGCGCACTTTGATGGTGTCCATTGTGTGCGTAATATAGCTGAGCGGCAGTCGTCAGGGGAGTGTCGACCCTGAATGGGGCCGTGCATGGGGGAGAAAAGGCAAGAGAGTCGAGGGCAACATCAACGCATGACGCGGCGATCGCAAAGATTCCCTGGTTGTTCGTGGCTGAAACACTTGTCGCTGGCCGATCTTTTCCCGGTCGGTTGGCGGTACTCACATCCTGATCGCTCTTATTGGCTTAGAAACTCCCTACCCGTCGCCATCCCTTGGTGGTTTGATGGCCAGCTTCTATAAATTGCGATGTGATCAGTGCTAAGCCTTTCCCTCTCATTCATTCCCACATGTTTTATTTCCTTGGTAATCAGTATTAAAATTGTTTTACTCTCCTGAAGCGAGAGAACTCTACCCCGGGGGGCGCCTGGCCCCCAATCCCTTGATTCTGAAACCAGAAGTTGCACAGGGACTGGGCAAGTCACTTAGTAACAAGTCCCGCCTGAGGCGGTGCAGCTCTGCTTCCCGACAGCGTTTCCCTTCCCACGATGATCCCGATGATCACAAGCGGGCTGAACAACTTACGGGAGGCTGTAAACGCCCGACCTGCCTCTCCTGACGTTACTTTGGCGACGCGAACACTGGCCTCTGTCGTACATATTAGTGCAGTAGCCACGATGAACTATCTTATTGGCTTCGGCGCAAGTCATGGGCTGATGACTGCATGAGACCTTTTGTGTGGGGTTACTCAATCAGAGCCGCCATGAGCATGTGTCGCAACCGTTAACTGTAGGCTGTCAAGTACCTAACTACCATGTGCAACCCTACCCCGTACTCCATATACTCCAACTGATATAGGGGATATAGATAGATAATCTCTGAGACCCCAGCGCTAAGATACTGTGATCTGTGGGCTTTTCAGGGGATTATTTAAAGGAGACGGACAGCCTCACAGTATTCTCTTCGCAAATCATGCCCATCCCAGTTTAAGCTCTACGATGATCGGGGGCTGTTGACAAAGTAGGTTCAGGCAATTGGATACGTTAGAAAATCTACCCCCTTTGCTGTGCCCGCAGCCTTGAGTATCTAGTATTCGACCGATATGCACCTAACTTCGACGGACTCGAGCTACGAATGCACAAAGCGACGGAGACAGCTCAATAGATTGCTCGCTTGCTCACTTCTCGTGCCCGCCAAGTCACAAGCTGACGTAACAACAATATCGATCCCAGCCTTTTGCAGCTCAACGCAACTCAGCTGGCCTTCTCGATTGATCTATTTTTCTCATCTACGGAAAGGGCCGTGGAGAAAGCACGTCGTGTTGCCCCAATCAACGGCTCCACTCTATCCCGCCTTGGTGGGGTCGCTACAAGACACCGTCCCCAGTCCGCGGCTTGCATCGCGGGATGCCCTCCCAAGTCCATCGTCTAGCGTCCATTAGACTATCCAAGATTCGTCGCAGTTCGTCCGAGCCGATCTTTCGACGACGTTACTAAGTGTGTTGCCTAGGCGGGCAGTGTTTGTGCCCTGCCACTATCTATTCATTTGGAGCCTCATGAGCAAGGCTGGGGCACGCCTTTCCGAGGTTAACCGTCGCATAACAGTGTCATAGGATCAAGGCTATGGCAGAGCATTGCATCATATGCGTAGTTTGCCCAGTGTTGACTCGGTGTGAAATTCACTCACCCAGATCCCTTCGTCTATTTATGAAGACAGGCCAACTGAGCAGCACAAGGGATTTTCTGCTCGATGCCGCGGCTACAACAGCAACAGGGCTGTGAAAGCTATCCACAGGCGATAGATCTCTCACATGTGAGTATACTAGCCGCTACACTAGTTACCTATAATCCCCTAGTTCTACTATTTAGTAATTAGACAATCTGCTGGCACCCAGGTTCTGGTTTAATGAATCCACATCACCCTATTTGCTACACTTGCTTGTGTGCGACCAACCATGGCAGATACTATATTGTCCTCAGTGAGAACAGCACCAACAATATAAGGCCAAGTACAGCACACGGCAATCAAAATAACAACACCAAAAAAGATAGAAAGACTAAATATCAGAAACCAGAGCATACCCCTCCATAATCACATCGGGGGAAGAGGAATGAAGCCATGAAAGAAACAAATCCACAGAGGCTTCAGTATCCATCGTAGGTGCCGCGAAACATATTTTAAGTCCTTCGCGCGAGGTTTCAGTGACTTCTGGATGAATGGCTTTGAGGGACTCATGCAGGTAGGCAATGTCTTCAGCGGAGGGTGGTCGTTTCAGTGTAAGGGTCACTTTCATGGTTGCGGGGCGCTGATGACATAGTATTAGTATAGTACACCATTATATGTAGACGATGGAGGTTACTAATATATGGCTTACGATGGTAACTAAGCATGGAGGGGGAGAAAGGAGCACTAGTACTACTCATTCTATACTAGACTCCTGGAGGGTGCCGCAACTTAGTATTTATATCCAGCAGTACCTTATTTGCGCTACGAGGTTTCGTCGCGCACCTGAAATGATACTTCAGTATATCTTCTACTGTGTCTGCCGAGAATTTCATTTCACTTGACGAGCACGTTTATTAGTACATGCCTTGCCTACCTTGCTCACTACGTAGAATCCCCCAGTGTCTGTGGTTGACTCATGCATGACTCAAAGATAAGAACATCATAACTATAATATTATATGATATTATAGTCCTGCTAGACACCTAGTATCAGAAAACCAAATAAGATAGTGTGCAAGCAAGCAAGGAACGTCTCCGCCACGGTTTAGGCAACAATAGCCGCATGAGTATGCGCGATATGGTACTGCCTACAGGTGCTGATACCGCACATGTGAATATCTTAGCAGATTATACTATTTCCACCAGGATATTTTAGTTTAAGTTAATTAGCTGGCCTTCATAACATCCACGTTTCACAGCGGATTTAGGGTCATGTAAAACTAATGATTTGTATATTGTTCAATTTATTCGATGGAGCAACTGTGGCTCAATCCTTCTTGAATGTCTGATGAGCAAGCTTGAAACACAGTTGTTCAGAGAGAGCTTAGATGAAATCTCGAGTTACTTTGTTAGTGGTGTAATTCTATACCTGCCATCTTATGTCTATCTCCGCTGGGGGAGAATGAGTGAGCGGGTGATATAACATGATCACTTGTCTATGCATCTCGATGGAGCTTAACTACTAGACCATTGGCCCCTGTATCCCTGCCTTGATAGATGATTACTACACACCTTGTCTGCCCGTGCATTAAGACACGTCAGGCATGTTGCGAAGCTGGTCTCCCAGAACGCTAGTAAGGAATAGTTGATTAACTAATCGGCATATGGATTGCCGATTAATAGATAAGGCCTGGAGTCTGCGAAAGTAGGAGTAAGTTGTTGGAGCTGCACGTCTCGGGGAATCTGTCTTGGTTTATCTCTCTTATGAATTGTCCCTACAGTAGATGATACTGTTGAACACGTAATTTTGGAGTCCAATATTGCTCAAAAAAGCTCCTCGCCGTTATATCAACTTCAATTTCCGCGAAATATTCACTGCTCGTCCCACAACTGCCTAAACAAACTCTGCCCACCGAGCAACTCCCCTGGTCTCCCAGTCTCCACAATACAGCCATTTTGCATGATCACAACTTGATCAAAATCCCGAATACATCTCAACCGATGCGTCACTGCAATGACGGTCGCATGTGCGAAATAGTCTTTGATGATCTGGAACATCAACCGCTCTGTAGCGACATCAACATTTCCACTGATCTCATCCAGAACAAGGATCTTCGTTTCTCTCTGCCGAAGTAACGCTCTCGCTAGACTTAACAGCTGGTGTTGGCCGCGCGAGAAAGTCGAATTACTTATTTCAAGGTCTAGCGAATAACACTGCCCTGTACTTGGATCCACCCCTAGACCTACGGTATCCAGAGCTGAGAGCATTGCATCGTCAGAGAACTGTTCCCCGCTAGGATCGAGGTTGAATCGTAGTGTTCCAGGGAGGATGAGTGGATCCTGGGGTATAACGGTAAGTCGGGCCCGCAGAACGTCGCAGGGAACATCGCGCAGGTCCATCTCGTCAACAAACACAGAGCCCGCGATAGGTTCAAGAAGTTTAAGAAGAAGAAGGATGAGAGAGCTTTTACCACTCCCGCTTCTACCGCAGACTGCTATCTTATCTCCGGCGTGAATCGACAGAGTAACATCGCGCAGAATGCATTGATGAGGGCTCTGTCGGGCGTCGTAGCTTGCATAGACGTGGTCGAGCCTGATCGAGCCGCGAGATGGCCAGTCCTGGGCAGGCTGATGTATAAGCTCACTGTTTTGGGCATCTTCCCTCGGGACAGTCTCTTCATAACTCTTGACGCGGGCGATCGCGCCAAGAGTCGTCTCCAATTGTGTCCACGAAGTAATGAGATACGATAAGCTGCTACTGAACCCCAAGATATTCAGCAAAGAAACTGCAATAGCTCCAGTATGAGCTGATGATCCTAGTGTAACCGCCACGGTGACAACAATAATCGCCAGACCCGCTGCCATGAGGTCGAGGACGAGGTTCAGCCAACGCTGGATACAAAACATTGTGTAATACGGTTGGATCGCCCTATCGACCAGTTGTCGACACCGCGCCGCCCATGCGGCTTGCCAGCCAAATGCACGGATAGTGTCCATGCCCGAGGCCGTCTCAAGGAAGTGTGTGTAAAGCGGGCTCTGTGCTTCGAGTTCCATGAGCCGTAGCTGACGTGAAGTCCGCAGGTAAAAGTTTTGCAGAGCGTAGAAAACAGTGATCACGAATGGCACTGCGATAGCGATGTATTTGTTTCCTGCGGCGATGAGCATAATTTCAGCGATTAGCGTTCCAGCGCCGAAGATGGTCATGAGCAGTGCGCCCGATAGTTGGTTGTCGATTTGGGAAAGGTCCTGGCTGAATCTGTTCAGGATAGTACCACTGTCATGCGCTGCGAAGAATGAATAGGGTGCGTTCATGGTAGCCGTTAGAAGCTGTGTGTGTAAGCGGCGGGAGCTTTTCGCGACGAGGAAGATTATGAGGAATGTGATGCTGAGGATGGTGCCAATTAGCTGGATGAAAGCACAAATCCCGTATACCCCAAGGTAAACACCGAGGGAGTAGTTGAAGTCATTGTCGGACCAGTATTGGAGCCATAGAGTAGGGAATTTCGATCCGAATACCTGCACAACTATGAGGCCTAGGAAGAAAGCGGACGATACCCAGCCCATTGAATTTACGTAGTACTTGTAGATAGAATAGTCACCGAGGCAGCGTGGTGAGTCCTGGCGGGACTCTATGAGCTTTTTCTCCGTCCCTGTGGTTATTGGAGTTCGTTCTTCGGTAGGTTTAACTTCGCTCTCACTCGGTATAGAGATAATCTTGTCTTGAAGCACATCCGATGGGGATGCTGATGCGGTTGTGCCATCGTGAAGGTTAATAATCGTATCAGGTGAGGTCACGCGCTTGGGATCACTGCAAGCAAGAATAACGGCGGCATTGTGGGCTTTGCATAATCCTTTAGGACCAAAAGCGCGATCAAAAACCTTCTTGGCCGTGATAACGTCTAATGCACTGAGTACGTCGTCAAGGATTAGGAGCTTTCTGCGCGAGTATATGGCCCGCGCTATTGCCAAGCGCTGCTTCTGCCCACCGCTTAGTGAAGTACCACCGGAGCCAACACCAGTCCTGTCTCCTTCGGAGAAAGCAGAGATGTCTTCGTCAAGCGCACATGCGTGGAGAACAGTGGTATACCATTTCTCGTCAAAATAGGAAGGGCCAGTCACGCATTCCCTAACAGAGACACTTGGCAACCAGGGCTCTTGTGCACAGTAAGCTATTGCCACTGATTTTGAGTAAGACCCAGCGACGCAGGGTACTGCTCCTATGAGGCTTTTGAGTAGCGAAGACTTTCCAGAGCCGGTAGCCCCTGTGACGATTGCCAGCGTAGAGGAGTGTATCTCGACGTTCACGTTCGTCAAAACCGGCGTGGTTGAGTCCGCATATTTGAAGGCGGCATTGTGTACTGATAGACACTTGCCATTCACGGGGAGGGCTTCTAGCTCAAGCACGCTCGGTGAGAGCGCTTTGATTGGTACCTGATTCTCGTCACTGTGGTAGGAGATCTGACCGGCTGCAACTTCGGGCAAATCAAGGTAGTCCTGAATTCGCTTGAAGCAACCTAGAGCAACTCCCATCTGGGTTATTCCGTGAACAAAGACTTGTATAGGCTGAGTGACTAAAGCAATCAGGGCGAGTACGGTAAAGGAGTTTGCTGAAGTGACCACACCACTTCCGGAGACCATTGTGAAAATCGTAAACGTTAAAATAGGCCCGGCAATCTGTGGTATATTTGCTATAGGTGCCTATCAGTATGGAGTCATCGCTGGAGTGGATAAGAGAGATTCGTACCAACAACATTTCTCCACATTATAAGCATGCGGGCCCCCCGAGCGCGTTCAAGCTCGGCGTTGCGAAGGTCACATATTCGCCGTGCTACAAAAGAAGATAAACCGAGCAACTTGATGCTCCTAATCGAACTGAAAACAGATGCACTGATTGCAATACGCTCCTGGACAGCCTGGTTCCATATTTTCTGGCGTGGGGGTGACCGGGCGGCTACAACATAACTGAGAGACACGGCTGCCAAGGCACATCCAACCGATGCTAAGCATGCCCAACTTACTTGTCGTGCAAGGAAGAATATGGCAAGGCCGACCTCGATAGGCGAAGCGAACAGGGCGTCTAATCGCATCAAGCTGTTGCAGATGGTTTCTGTGTCGGTGCTCATCAACGTTAGCGCAGCTGAATTATTCACCGTAACAGCGTCCAGTCGTTGTATCTTCTCGTAGAGGGCAGTAACCAAAAGGCTGCGAACACTGGTGATGGCACGGTTTAGCCCATGCATATATAGCGACGTCGTGGCCTGGACAGATCTTTCATCAGCTTGCTTCACGGCTCGGATCGGTAGATGAGTGTTGGAAGCGTACTGCCGTTCCCAGATAGATCAAGACTGTAGCTCCAACAAGCGCCCCACCGACAGCATTGTCTTTAGTTGAAGCAGAGAGATATCGAATGACACGATTAAGAAACAACGGCTGCGCTATTTTGAGACCGATGAGACCAATTCGGGGAATTGCTGTCCACATCAAAGTTCGTCGAACGCAAGACAATGTTGTCAGCAGTAGCTTATGTTGGGCTTCATGGCGATCCTTCAGAGCTACATATTCATTAAATACCTCGGTTCAGTTTATCCCAGGACAGAGGAAGTGACATACTCGACAACCAACTTGACTCGAACTTGGCCTGCACTGCTTCAGCTGAGAGGTTGGAATCAACAGGGAAAAGATGGCTGCCATTCAACAGCCCGCGGGCCCCGCGGGCCAGCAAGGGATTTAGCCACCAGAAAATGACACGATTCACCATGCCCCCTAACCTTTCTGGAGAATAATAAACGAACTGAGGCTTCAAATATCTATGTTTCTCTTGTGACTCTGCTATGAGCAACAAGAAACGAACACCCAGGCCTGCAGTACATGTCCCCGCAATAGTAAGGGGGAATCGTAGCCATAATGTCCGGGCCTGTACACCATCAAGCAATGTGCTAAGTAGAAGATAAAAACAAAGCAGATTGGAAGGCGAAACCGATCGTACGTGCTCTTTCCATGACAGAATCGGTATGCCGAGGGAGCATACCAATGACAGGGAGGCCGATGCAATGGTGAATTTATTGCGATGCTGAGGAGACATTGCCCAGAGCATCAATAAAATAAGTTGGCTGCAGATCAAAGCGAGGCTCAGAATGATCTTCACACAGATAGATACCTTGGCATGCTGGTTTAATTCCAATGTGATCTTCCTGGATTGCCCAAGGAGCTGCAGTATCCTGCAGGCTACGGCTGGGAGAAAACATGCCGATAGGACGATACCAAATATCACCTGCTCAAAGAGTAGGGTAAAGTCCAAGTAGGAGCAGCCATGAATTGGCGGCCCAAATGTCCTATCAGCTGCAGAGCTGCAAGAGCTTGCCATGTTAGTTGATGAACGATAGCCAATGTGTACTGTTACCTTGGTGTTCGTTAAAGTCAGAACATGCACGCCGACAAAGTTCAACGACTTTAGTGTGGGGTTTTAAAGATGGGTTCACAAGCAATCTGATCAAAAGAAGTGAGGGGTTTTGCCTAGGCAACAGCAGAAGTGTGTCTGTATCTGACGCTAAGGCAACTAGTCGGCGTTAGTTTTATATTAAACCTTGCAGCTCCTTATCTGGGCTTGACTGCACCAGTCAGATACGTAGTCCGTCTAGTCGGAAGAACCCCTGTCTGGGATTACGACTGATGGCTGGTTGGGAGGATAATCGTCTGGATTCATACCCAAAGATAAATGAAAGAAAAAGAAAAAGTATTGTAAATGTGTATAGAGATTAGACGCTACCATAATGAAATTTTCTGGACCCTATGATTATAATCTTATCTAGCATAAGTAGTCTGCGATTTCAAGAAAGACATATCTTGAGGTTATATTCGTGATAGATAGTATACGTATCCTCTAATAGCATTATAGACTGTTTCATTCTCATAAGTTTAGAGACTCTTTGAAAGTAGGTAATGTGTCTATCGTATCATTATGCTTTATTATATTTGCAAACTTATAAATGCGTTTATAACTAGTGGAGACATGATAGTCAATAGTCTATCTCTCCAGTCTTCTCTGTGGTTGCTGTGATATATCTGCCTACACTCTCAACATTGAGTCAATATCCAATTGTCATTTCCTCTTAATGAGCCTGGAGGCGGGGCGAAGTATTTTCGCTACGACGTGGCGTGGCTCTGGGAATGCAATGGAAGCCTTCCAACAACCTTCCCTTTACAGGAACCCTTGTTACATCCACCCCTCTAGCATCCATAACAGGACTCGCTCCCACGTCACCATTCAACCTTGACCCTTCACGCAGCCCCCTCGCCCCTAGCTACCTCAGTTCTTGCATACGCCTCCTCTAAATCCGCAAGCCGCTGTCTGATCGACTGCGGCTTTCGCTGATACGTGCACAGCGTCGCAACGAGGCACGCCGCCGCAATACCCGCACAGATGCGCATGTCGGTATTAAACGTGCTAACATAGACCTGGCGAACGAGAAGCTGCAGCAGCACGGGGAGTCGAGAGATCGCGGCGGGGGTCCGGTAGAATTCATTCAGTTGCTCGGGTGTGAGGACGCCGGCGAGCGTGTGCTGGACGTCTGTGTTGAAGACGATGAAGCCCGAGGCGATGCCGATGCTTCCGCCAAAAATGCGCAGTTGGGCGACGATGCCTTGGGCGACAGCTATCGAGGGGGTGGAGATTAGCTTTTTTTCTTTGATATCTGTTTGACTACTGCAGCCGGATATACGCACTGGAAGAAAAGAATAAGGAACGCACGTACCATGATCCTGAAACTCAACCTGCATCGTCGTAAGAAACGTGATTGTAGAAAGACTCAACCCGATTCCAAACCCCAGAATTGCTTCGAGTCCCCACTGCATCGGTGCAGGGTCTACCGAGTCCGTCAAAGTCGAGAGCGAGGCAGTCCCAATCACCATGAAAATGCTCGCCAGGTTCAACGTCCAGAAGGCATTGTTTCGCTTCGCAGATGCGGCCCCGCCGATCGCAGAGCCGACGGCTGTGCCTGCCATCAACGGGAGGAGCAAAATTCCAGATGCGACCGCGTCCTTCAGGTTGACAATCTGCGCTCGCATGGGGATGTTGACGATGGCCAGAAGCATGACAAATCCAGTTAGGATGGTGCTCCTGTAGCGGGCCCGTCAGTGGGGTGCTATTTAACATTCCCGGGGGATCGCTCCCAAAGAAACTCACACAAAACCGGCGACCATGACACGGCGTGACAGTAGCCGGAACGGCAATTGAGGCCGAATCTGCTTGAATCTCGGTTTGGACAAGATGACCCATTGCCAGTAGACGAGCGCTCCCCATGACAGTACGGAGATGATGAGGACGGTAATCACCGGGGCGCTGTTCCACGCATAGGCTCTGATGGCTGCTTCATTCAAGATGAAGACGAACAGGACAGATCCGACAAGTATGAGAAGTGCGCCGAGATAGTCAAGGTGCCGGAAACGAACATTCCTCGCGAAATGGAAATCATTGGGCCACACGAGCAGCAGGGTGACCAGAGGAACAAATGCACATGGGCCGCTAGGCAATGTGATTAGACAGTTTTCTTCATCTGCGTCTCTTAAGCTGTTGCAAGGACGTACTTTATCCAGAATCCCCAACGCCAGGTATGATAACTCGTCAGGGCGCCCCCGATCAACGGCCCGCTAATCCCAGCAAGGGCGACAACCATGCCGATGATGCCAGATATTGCGGGGAGTAAAGGAGGGGGGCTGATCTCGGGATAGATAATCATGGCCATCGCGTACAGCCCCGATCCGCCGATTCCCTGCATCGCACGGAAGCCGATGAGCTGGCTCATATTTTTGGACGCGGCACATCCCATCGACGCGCCGAGGAAGATCAGGAAGCACATGCAGAGGAGGAATTTCCGGCCAATGACATCAGATAATCTTGCCGTGAATACGGCGCATCCTGGGTTTGTATTATTTGAAGTTGTCTCGAGAAGAGCAAAGCAAGAAGTGGTTATTCACCAACATAGGACAGGGTGTACGCCAGGACAATCCATGAGCAGGTTTTGAATCCATCGAATTCGTCAGAAATGGTGTATAGCATGGTTGAAATAATGGTGGTATCCATCAACGACAAGAACAGTCCGATGGCGATGCTGCGGGAACTCGTGGTCAGTGCTCCGTCACTTATGGCGCGGGGAAGCCTCTCTTGCGGTCTCACCAAAGAAGAATAATCACCAGCCTCCATGTTGCAATTGTCGGGCGTGGAATCTCAAAGGAAGGAAAAACATTTTCGCTGGTAGCCGTGGCCACCTCAGAACCCATAATGATTACCCAAGCAGATGTAGAACGATGTAGAAGGTAACCAACATGGACAGGTACGGGAGCATCTGGATAGTGGACGGTATATTATGGTTGGCGCAAAGGTGGTGCCTAGACAAGGCCTCAGCCTTGCTTAAGTGCTTTAACTGCTAAGCTCAGTGTCTGTGACACCCTCCTCGCTAACACGCAGCAGTGATTGGCGCTCTTGTGAGGGGAAAGAACCAAGCCACGAGTTCCTTCGGCCAGGTGTCGGCTGCGGCGATGGACCCTTGCTAGTGTGGGCTGCCCGGCGTGACTGTGTCAGGTGTCAAGCTATCCTCATACAATCTGATCTGGCATTTGGCCTATCTGGGGACGGCGCTACTTGCGTGCCCAAAATCGCTAGATCCGCCGACGGACGTGTCGGGCGTCCACCATGCGGTGTCAGCCTCATGTGGCCGAAGAACCCTATACGGACCAACGGCCAGGTACACATATTCTATGATTTGTATGTTCCAGGTTGCTTCGAAAACCATAAGACATTACTTATCCAGGAGAGGCAAGACCTGGCCTAGAACCACAAAACAAACGATTCAATGATAAAAACCGAGCATACCGCTTTTAGCACAATGCCTGCAACCCAGTTATTCTCCTGCTTCTGGGTGCCAGCACGTGGGCTACACCCCTGCAGAAACGCGATGCAGCCACGGTTCTGATCGACGTGTACGGAATAAAAGATCCACATTGCCGCCTTCAGCACCACCTTCGATGACTTCGACAGGACGATTGCAAATCAGTGAGAATGAGGAGATCGATCTGAAGAATGGGCTGAACCAAGCCATCAATAATGTCGTCGCCCCTACCACGCTTGCGACTGCGACGAGCACAAGAGTCACAAACTGTGAGGGACCGCAAGCCGGATATTCTTGCCATCCTTGACAAATTAGTCGATACTGTGCGTCCTTCACTTGCTCTCGAATATTGCTTGTTATCGTGGATTTGATGACTGATAGATGACGTAGAAGCCTGGCTTCACCTCTGCCTGAGTTTTCAGTATTGTGGAGGCAGATCTCCGTCCGTTCAGGCTTTCGCTAATGTACTCTCCACACAACTTCAAGACAAGGTCACCACTGCGGATAAGGCTACTATTGCGTGAGTGATTGTGGAGGTTGATGCAACGTATGCCAGTACGACGGCAGCGTTCTACTGAGAGAAGGGGCATCATCTCCGATGATTTTGGCCTAGGAGAGATGGACATTTGCCCTGTAACCTTACGATGTGTTTACGCAAGCTTCAGTGAAGCATGTCATGTAGCTAGAGCCATAAGTACTTTGTCCAAGTGAGGTACCAAGTTCACTGACATACTTTATTGATCAAGTTTGGGTAGCTGCTTTCACTCACGAACAATAAATCCTGCCTTGAAAACCTCCAATAGAACGAAACTCAGCAAAGCCCGAACGCAAAGCTGTCGCCTGAGGCTCAATGGTCAAAATCCCAAATCTCCCTGCTATTGGAAGGTGTGCAGCCAATCACACATGGTCCCACCTGTGAACCGTTCATTACACTATTTGAAAAATATTGGAAAGATACCGCCTATACATCGGTACTTAACAGCAGAATAAGATATCACTCACAAGGCACGACGTACAGAACAAAATGTACGATTCTTTTTCTATATATTCCAGCTGACTGACTGTCTCCGCATCTGCGCCATTTATATATCCCACTCAACAGCCTTGGTCACTACTTACACATCATTCTTTAAATAATATACCTTATACACGCCCTCAAACTCCACAACGCGAGTCATTACCTTACTGCAAAGCCTCGCCTGCAACTCACCATGCGGCCACAGTAGGTCCAACCAGCCGATGATATAGACCGTCAGAATGGATGTCCGCTACATGTTGGCCAAGGGGCGATACACGCGCGGGAAGCCCTCCATCCCGCCGCGGGTATTCCATTGCGTTTTCGCTGCATGATCGTGCTCTGCGCTGTTGTCCACCAGCTGGATAAAAACATAAAATATTACTAGAGGACATAGACTGCCGAAGCGCTAACTGCTGAACCAAAAACGATATATCGCATCTAATCAGCCAGGCGAAGGAGAGGTATTTGCCCCAACATAAACCATAATATTGGTTACAATATTGGTTACAGTTATTCCTAGATAATACCTGTGAACCCTCCAAGTTGCAGCAGCAGCAGCAGCAGCAGCAGCAGCAGTAGTAGTAGTAGTAGAGTAGGCGTCACGAAGCGTTACGGCAAACCATGGCACTTACCGTTGCAATCGGCAAGGTGTCATGGTAGATAGCAACCCGGCTAATCATAATAAATAGTACACTAACAGAGATCCATTTTCTGCCTAGGCTTTTAGCGGCGCAAAGTAAGATTCTGATACATACATACGTATACATTGTCAAACAAGTGTGACGAAATAGTACTAGATCAGGACTATCTGATACGCCAGGAGGCTTTCACATACAGCTTAGATTGTGGTGTTTACTGGGACACACGGCTTCATATAGTCTTGCTACTATTCTCCACCATTTGCAAAACTACGGTTCGAGGGCCTTTCACCGATTGTCTGTGAGGCTCGTAAAAGTCTGTTAAACATTCCATCTTGCAAACAAAGCTCAAGGATGTAAGATTAGTTCTCTCTGTAATGAGCCAACTGTTTGAAATGTCTAGCGAGACACAAAGTATAGTTGACAACATCATCTGTTCTGTCCATTCCCCGAACATCACAACAAAAGTTTTCTTGGAAGGTAGAATAAAATGAAGCGACAGGTCCATCCGTGAAACACGGTATGTTGTGCCGGCCCTGGCTCATTGCAGATACCTCTCTAATTGAAGTACTCTCTTTATAAACAGCCGCATTGTTTCATACAATCGACTTTTTGCAAGCCAAAAGCCGGGCCAACCCCCAAGTAACTGATATAATCGTTGATGCACTTCGTATAGCAAGCGTTACTGGGACACAACTATGAATGACTTATTAGCATGGACATTGCAGTGTCTTTGAATGTGGTACGTTTCATACGTCGTCGCGTTTCGCGTTTTCAGAAATGCTTGGGGCACTGCCATCCTCAGCCAAAGGCGCGGCTGCCACAGCAGCAACGAAAAGGGCTGTAGAAAAGATTGAGAGGAGCTTCATAATGTAGGTATTGGAAGGTTTGGGTCTTTTTCCTTTTGTGGGATTTGAGAAGAAGTAGTGAGAAGAGGATGGATGTAGAAGATGATGAGTTGAGAATAGATTTCAGAACGGGGAAGTCATACTCTTATATAGACAACGAAAGACTCATTCCATGATATAATCAGCGTCTCATATCCGGCCGATGATGAGGACATATCCTGACTGGTACAAGAGAGGTATCTACTGCCCTGAATGTAATCATCATCGATACCTGCCAAAACGTTCCGAATGGGGCATTGTTACACAATGGGCTACCCAGTTAGAAAGCGAAGTTATAGTGGTGGAGCCATGCGGGCACTACGCCGCCTCCCGCCGGAAGCAACCTAAAGACTTTTCTTCTCACTCATACTCCATATTTAATGAAATCCCCCACCACGTCGATTGTATTCCATATGTCGTTGGCACAGAACTTTCAGGTAGATGTAACATTACTATAGGAATGACTTGAAGTAGCGTGAAAGATCTGCACGGCTGAGAATGTTCAGCCAGCCTTCATCAAGGCATTCTAATCGGTCTTTCATCCTACTGGAAGAGGCCGTGAAGAAGCTGAAAGATTATCAGCGGGGGATGTGTTAACAATACATGCATAATCCAGAGTGATTTGTGGATTGCCACCCTCATTTGGGAGGGAAATTTTTTGTCACGTTAATCTTGTGCAGTAACGATGTGATATTTCCCCGCCGGAGTTGCACTACCCGAAGCTGAACGTAGATGATCGGTATGGGGCCGCCCGGGCCAGAAGGAATATACCTGGTCATCTGCAAGAGTCGTGGCAAAAGGAATGATGGGTGGCTAGGACTACAAGTGTTATTATGGGTCACAAATGGTCGGAAAGGGTGAGATACTCTATGAGCACATCGTGTCTCCAACCTGCTATTCATTCTACCATACTATTTGATGTTCTCCATCGTAGATAGTATGAGTTGGAATGGCAAAGTCATACGGCAAAGGGTATAGGTAATAGGTAAGGTGGTTGGTAGCCGAGGCCTACGGTTGGGATCTAGTCTCCGAGGGTTAAATCGATTGATAACATTAGAGATCGGCCATCCTGTGTCCCTTCGCTTAAATTTAGCTGCTCTTTGGAGGGGGGTACACCGGGATTTGTTTCCTCTACTACTTTGGGGATGGCTTCCCGCTAGGATGTAATTGCAGTACGCCCCCATGGGAGAGTCCGCTTGGCACACTATGTACTTAGTTTACAGAGTATCCATTTCGCCACATTTTATATTGCAACTGACTATAATAGTCCAAGTCTACTAGAGTGCAGCCATCATTTTGCCACTCAGGATTGATAACGATCGTTACGTAGTCTAGATACCTAACAAAAAGCAATTATAATACTTCCTGGATGATTTTATCCCTCCTCCTTTCCCATTTCCTTCTCATAACAGTAATTCTCTGCCGCAAGCAACAATCCTTTACCAAATAACAATACATTTTCTATCACAACCAATAAGCAATAATGGCCTACACTAAGTGCTGCAGCTCCTCCTTAATGTAGGACTCTGCGGCGGTGGCCCTACTGGCCGTAGGTGACGAGAACAATCTTAAAGGTGCCGCACGGAAAGATTTTATGACAGCAATCAGCCCGGTACCCATGCATTTATCTTGTTGGATAAGCGGCTGAGACATTGGCTGGTGGAAACAATTTCCGGTGCGACCCCCACATCCACAGATCCGCGAACCAGAATGGCCCATTTGTGGCTCGTGCAGGCACTATAAGGATGATCCACCTTCGGGCTCGCTAGTGTCACTTCAGCTGGGAAAATCTATCTATATCTATTGAATTACTAGTTTAGTTCCTAATCTATTTTCCTTTGCGTCTTCTGTAGCAACTCACACGAAGGTAGATAACCTACAGCTAGGAATGTCTTGATTTCCCAGAGAGTTGGTGTTTATCTCATTGCAGCCCCAGCCCCGGGAAAGACAGTGCAAGTAAATAGGTTATAGAGTCCAGCTATCCAGCTTTGCTCTAGTGCAACCCTAAGAAGTTCATGGCAAAAAGATCGAACATGTTGCCACCTGTTTGAATCCCGGTCCTATTTATTTTTCTTTTTTCTCCTTCTTCGCAAAGCGACCCGCTCCCCCACCCCCAACATCCCTCTGAACCTATGAGAATAGCAAGTGATCACTAGTGGGAGAGGAGGTATGTAGATAGCACGGTAACAGTAGTATCTGCCCATTTTTTGAGTCTTCCAACCGCGGAATACTGATCAAGCTACCCCGTAGTAGTCACTATTACCAAACCAAGAATCTCTTTACTGTCTAGCGTCTCGCTGACACTATAAAAGACCCCCCCAGCACCCTGAAGTTACAGTCCCAAAGCCCAATATCCTCTTTCATATTCAGGTTCTTCAAACCGTACAATTGCCTCTACGCACAATACCACCAATATGAAGCTCCTGACTATTCTTTCTACGACTCTCTTCATCGCCGCCGTGGCAGCCACACCTGTGATCGATAAGGCAGCAAGAGAAATAATACCTAAGGTATGAACACCAACGTACTGAACTTTCATGTCATTTTCCCTCTTTTTTGTAATACTCAAATGGCTCATGTGCACGCAACAGTGCCCCTCCGATCAAGCTACCAGAAACTGCAAATTATGTTTGGATGTTTGGAGGCTTACTGGTCACGATATCGATCCTTTGAGTTGCTGTAAACTCGCAGGCTGTGAGGGTTAGGTCAATTTTTTCGGACCGGAGCATAACCGCCGCATATAATAGCCAACACTTGCCAAATTTGAGCGTGTCCGCAGTCTCTATGGTTATTTGGATTACATTGTCTTTGGCGTGGTATTCATGTACTATCGGTTGCTCAATGAGATTCGTCTCGTTGTTCTCAATATGGTCTCACCCGTGCCGGTGTTATTCTGGCAGCTTGAAAGTATGACTTGGTGGCTCACTTGAACTTGGGCTATGGCGGATCTATTGGGAGGGATATACTCTGTTTGGGTGTCATTTTTGATAATTATATATATCTGAATCTTAGATTTATTCTACACTAATACCGTCCAAGTCTTTCAAGACTGCCTGGTCTTGTTTTCTGTTTTTCTAAAACGCTACTTGGTCTTATTTCCTCATGAAAGAATCTAGAAGGCTGGGACGACGGAAATCTTGCAATAGAACGAATACGAATGATTGGAGAACAATCAATCCGCGAACAAATCTCAGATAAACTGTTGACAAGAAGGAGAACTCGCTCGGTCATTTCCACCCACTGAACGAGACGGATTATTCCGAGCTTTTATCCAAGAGAAAATTAACAATCCTGGATAGAGCTTGGCTGCCCCCCTCCATAGTTCCTTCCTTGTCTTCATCGACCCAGCCATGGGTGTAGCCCCCACCAAAGTCGATAATCCAAAGATTATCGTCAGCACCGACCAGGATATTGTCCGGCTTCGCATCGCCCCAAACTATCCCCGCAGCATGTAACTTTCCTATCATGTTTCGGATCTGGTTTATCCAATTGTTCCGAACTGATAACGGGGTGCTTGGTATATCAATATATCCCAAGATGTCACGATGATTAATATAGTCCATCAAAATTCCTGATATCCTGGATGTACCGCTTTGAAAATCCACGAACTCAAGTATCGTTGGCGCACGGATAATGCCCGACAGGCCGAGTTTCTGAATACAGAGCAATACTGATATTTCTCGATTTGCGTTTTCACTGACGTGGGCTGCTTTGAAAAAACGTGGCATTCCACGCTCGTTGAATACCTTCGTTGGTCGTTGAGGTAAGTCTCCCCCTGCCGTGTCATGTGGCAACAAGACTTTCGAGGGCGGAACAACTGGAATCCCAAAGTCTGCGATCGAACTGGGCAATTCCACATTTGGCGTAAGTTCCTGCAGGAACTGCTGACTCGGTGTAGAGGATTGCACATTCAGCCTCCCGTCAATGATTTTAGGAGTAAGAATGAGGGTGTCAGGATAAAACCAATCATAGAGAGTGTGAAGTTGGGGTTGTCGTTCGGAACCCAATACTCTCATCTCTGAGTTACACTTGAAAGCAATCCAGAAAGATAGCTCTTCCATTGGATCACCCACATCATCATTCTGCTCGAATGGCTCGTCCGAATCCAGCTTGCGGAGTAGAGACAAATATTCGCTTTCGACATTGGGATCTCCTTGAAGATTCTCGGCGGATATCTTGATATGGAATCGTTTCCCATAGCAAAGTATAGTTAATTCGGCGTAAGTGCCAACACCGTACATAAAGTGGAGGATTTCATACGGTGGTAGAGATTCCGTAGCTAGGGGGTCACCTGGTTGAGCCATGGCGATGAGAGGTTGACAGATGAGGTGGTTGGGAGCAAGGGGAGTGAGCCATTTAATTAGTTCCTCCGATATCTTGGCAGGCCGTCCTGACTTTGAAGTGTACCTCAACCGAGGGGCACGAACGACTTTCACACCCTGAAAGCATTTCGAAGCATTATTTCCACCATCGAGTGTTTTGAAAACATATGCTTCCACTCCAGAGTGATTTTGATGTATGCCAAGTCGAAAAGACCGGTCTCCAGCAATGAGCCTGCACCTCAACGCGGTGCTGGGGTATAGTAGCCAGTTATGGTGTAAGACGGGCTTCTTTCCCACCAGGTTTCACATGAATTGGGTTTGTTATCTTCTGGTCGTATCCCAGTCTAGGGAAAGCCTGCTGGTGCTATTGTCGTACCTGCCTTTCTTAAGGTTTGGGCGCCCAACTACCATGTTAATGCTCTTGTCGATTAGAACATCTGCTGCTGCCATGCAAAATCAACTGTGAAGATTGAGCTAAAGACGGATCTCAGTACAAAAGTAGATATGACTTGATTGGTAAATTAAAGATCCATGTAGCAGACCAATACACCATACGCTGACTGAGCCATACAAAGAGAAATTAGGAAAGATTAAACAAGGAATTCGAACCCCGGAACTTAGGTACACGCAGAAATCTTCCGGCCTCGCCGAACTTGGCTACATTGTAATCAAGACATCGGCATTCGAGATTAAACCACGTCGCGTCATTTTGTACGATCTCTTAGTCCACGTCGGATATGACGCATTGCGGTTCTTTTTGTGACAAAGCATGCGGTAGTGCCATTGGCGGCGGTTTCAATGTCACTACCTACAGCATTGAGCGAAATGTAAGATGGGTCTATCGCGACACTGCAATATGGTCCGGATTATGGTGCCCAAGGAACACTGCTAGAATGGTCTGTTGAAGAGGGCTGGGAGCCAGTGCAAGGTATACTATAAATCTTTTTGGGTCAAAACTTAAACTTGAATACTGACAAGAGGCACAGTTTCCTGAGAGGCATATGCCTGATGAGCCCTTTCCCCCGAACAAATACCCACAACGACTGTCAACAGACGCCGTGATGCGCTCATGAAGATGCGCCTGCTGTGGTCTTGGGTGGGACCCGTCACATTTCAAGGATCTCTACAACTTTCACATATGTCATTGATTACCTGCGGCGCTAGTATTGTTATACTCTTATAGGACGCTAACTAGGGACCTAGTAAAATGGGGGACTGTCCAAGTTCAAGTAGTTGACCCATGTCTGCGAACCATAGAGTGCAGGTCCACGCACGGGCCTGGTAGTGGGAGACGGAGAGGAAGACCTAGGGCTAGTCCAGGTAGAGCAGGTGGCCTGATGTCTCTATTTACGCCCAGGTACTAGGTACGTCCTAGTTCTCCATGCACTGATCAGTATTTATCCGTTGCATACACCTGCCCAGGTGGCTAGTAGTATTACACTGCTAGTTGGCCATTAAGTGGGATTGTGTACACGTCGTCTAAGCCGGTCTAGTAATAATCAATCAATTCAATACACTACGTAATACGTACAGAGCAGTACTTCCAGTTGGAACATTCCATGAAAGGCGCTAGTTGTGGGACGGGACGAGGGAACAGGGCGCCGGACGGTCCGTAGCGGATCTCAGCCTCGCATCTCCACTTGCGATGAGGCTGGATGCCTCTAACACGTCCAGGTTTATGCAACTTGAGCGAACCAGGTTGAGAATTTGGAAACTCAACCCCCACACTAAATTGCTTAGCGTGTTGAGGCATTAATGTACCTGTCATCATGTTCTTGTTTCTTTCAAGGTTGTTACGGTCGCTTTTACCCGCAGGGCTAGCTATATGAGGAGTCCAACCCCCGTATCTCAGACCTCGACATGTGCACCAAGTGCTAGCTACACTAATCACCATGCCTTCCAAGGCGTTCGTCTTTTGCTACACCGCATACAGCCTCGTCACCGTCCCGGCACGGCTGGTGGTCGTAGCAGTTTACAACATCCCGAGATTTCTTCGGCCCAATGCTGCTTGGTCATACAAAACAGCATGTACATGCAGTGCATGGGCCATACTTTTGAATTATTAGACGACTTTTCAGAAAGTCTGGCCAAAGCCACTGGAAGCAGGCTCATTAGGAGATCGATTCATTGTGCTCCACCCCCAAAAGACCATCACCACGAAGACCGAAGAAGATCAAGAACAATAAATCCAATCCGAAGTCTACAAGGGAATCACTTGCTCAGTTCCGGAAGTTGAGCCCCTATCCATTGGGGCTTTCTGGTTCCCGGAGGCCCCAGCTAAGCCCCCACAGCAACTAATTATTTACTTCTACCCGGGTGCCTATATGATGTTCGGTAGTCGTCCCAGTAAAACTGGCGATGTAGGCCTCAATGAACTCTGCAAAATGTCCGGATAGCCAGCGCTTGCTATCCAGTACCGCTTGTCTCAAGATAAGAAAACCACATTCCCTGCCGCCCTTCAGGATGGAATCACTGCCTATATTTATGCTCTCGAGATTCTTAAGATCCCACCCTCTCAGATCACATTCGCTGGTGAATCGGCAGGTGGCAATCTCGTCATGGCACTGCTCTGCTACATCAACGAGGAGACCCCGATGCTTCCGTTATCTTGCTGTGCAATTTTGTCATCTCCTTGGGTCGACCTGAGCTCTAAGGCCATTAAGAATGTGCCCCTGAACCGCAATTACAACACCGACTTTATTAAACAGAATTTCCTTGACTGGGGCCGGAAGGCCTTCACTCCTGAGAGGTGGGATAGCAGTAACTCCTGGATCACGTTTCTTGGAAACGAGACTCAACTGGATATCCCGGTCTTTGTCAATACTGGTACATCGGAAGTCCTTTATGATGATATTATGAAGTTTGCAGAGAATTTGAGGGAGAAGGGTAATGAGGTTGAAGTGCTCGAAAGTCTTAACGCAGCCTATGTTCCTTACCGACTGGGTAAGAATTGGAACATGGAAGAAGCTCAGGCTATTTGCTTGAAAACCATGACTAAATTCCTCGAGAAAACCGGTGTTTAAGTGGGCAGCTGTATATATACCTCTTCTCGAAGTGCTTGAGATAGACTCAGTAACTGATCGAAACATTATATAGACGAGCTAAATTACTTGTGCGATACCTTATATCCCCAGTTTATATAGAATACATGCAACTTTGGAAACGTCGAAATGCATTTCTCGAATTGCTTTTATTGCAAGTCAAAATAATAAAAAGGACAAATTCATCTGACTCACCCATCTCCGTAGCTTGACTAAGTGGTGGGACTAAGCTCACCATTTCTATCGTCCTAAAAGGAAAGTGATCAATACTGAAGACCTGCGATCTTGGACTTCTGCCCAACGTATTAAGACCGAAACATTTGTCTATGTACAGCCTCAACACAAGAAGAATTGATAACTTGGGCACAGTTCACAGAAAAGTAAGCTTGGTAGGACATCATTGCACTCCAAACGGAGGGATCATCGCGCGGCTGCGGTTCGCCATACTCTTCCCCGTTAGTGTTCTTTGCAAATATTAACGGTCATTGACCTTGAGGTAATTTCCAAGAAAGGTGATAGTAAATATTCGCTATAAAGATGAGATTACATAAACTCACACACTGCCATTACACCGCTTCAAGCGAAGACATAAGAGAGACTAACCACTAAAGACCCTGCAACGCCATTGCTTCACTCAACCTCTTCGCAAACACCTGAACATGGTCCGGTCCCAAAACATTAGCATGGTCACCTGGCACATGGCTCAAATTGATTTTCTTTGCGGAAAAGTTTTCCCAAGCAGCCAGACGTTTCTTCCACTCTTCAGGTGTAACATGCAAGAATTCCAGCGGAGTGCAATGAAAGACATCCATATGAGCGTTGACGACTCCATTCGGCTCATAACCTCTTCCTATCTCTTGTAAGCTGAAGGTAACGTTAATCCACTGCTCTAAGCCGCCTTTATCCAAACCCAACGCGAGGAGCTGAGCAGGATCCACTTCCTCGATTACTCTGGCCAAAGCTTCTTGCTTGGGAAGTCCGGAGAGCTCCGTGAGGAGAGTCCGGTATGAGTCCCGAGAAAGAAGGCCGAGAAAGTAAGAAATGTTAAACAGGCAGTCGGTCCATGTAACTTTCTTCAGGATTGGACTAACATATGGAGGGCGGTTAAGACCGGCTAGGTATTGAACTTGATCGCCTTCTTTCTCGAGGTACTTGGCAAGTTCGAATGCTAGCATCGTTCCGTAGGAGTATCCAAGTATAGCGTAAGGGCCGTTCGGTTGGAGCTTCTTCATGGCGGAGTGGTAGGTGCGGATGCATTCGTCGATGCTGGTGAAGTATGGCTCCTTGTGGTGGAATCCGCGGGCGCGGAATGCGTACACGGGTCTGTCTGTGATGAGCTTGGCCATGTTGATGAATATGAGAGCTTCGCCTGCGGCGGGGTGTACGAGCCATAGAGGTGTTTTGTTGCCGTTGGGCTGGAGCTTGACAGCTGGGACGTATTGGTGATGGTGTTGGCATGTTTCCGATAAACCACGGACGGTGTTGTGGGCCATCATCGTGGCGAGGGGAATTGGCTCATTTAGTGACAGTCTCGATCGCAGACCATGTTGAAGCCGGATAAGCGTTAACGAGGTAAGGCCAAGCTCGAAAAGGTCGGTGTCGATTCCGATGTCTTCTTGAGGTACGGATAAGAGTTCTGCTAACTCGTCCACGATTGCTTGCTCGGTTGGGGACCCGGGTGGTCTGGATATCGATTGTCGATATCTCTTGATCATGTCACTGTTAGTAGCTTCTTCCATTTTGTACTGGCCACTTGCAACTTCCCGCTGCAGTTTAGAACGAGGAAGCTTCCCCAGGGATGTGCGTTTTATACTTTGTAGAGGCAGAATATACGGGCGCACATTTGTTATCATTGTAATGCGGTGCGTTATCGCAGTCATCGTCTCATACCTAGCTTTGGCATCTCTAACGCAGTAGCTATGCTGGTAGATGACGCAAGGTCTCTCTGTGTCTGCACCCCTGGGACGGAATGGAAAGCAGATCACACAGTCGGAAACAATCCCCGGTATGTTTGCGTCCTCTATAGCGGCTTCCAACTGCTGCGGAACATATTTGACGCCGTTGACAGTGATCAATTCTTTCGTCCTGCCGGACAGATTGATTCTGCCATCTGTGTCTATGTAACCTGTATCCCCGGTTCGAAACCAGCCATCTGGACTGAAAGCCTCGTTGGTGGCTGTATAATTGTTGTAATAACCAGAAAATACAAGCGGGCCTTTGAGTTCCAAGTGGCCTACTTCTCCTGGACACGCGAGAATGCCATCCGTCGCTATGGAGACGATTCGTGCCTCAACACCGGTAGCACATCTGCCTAAAGAAGCAAATTCGTTGTTGTTACAAGTGTCATGTGCAGGAAACTCCAAATTATAGATACACCCTGCACAAGTTTCAGTCATGCCGAATCCAGGGACGATGACATTTTCAGGTGCGCCGTGCTGGGCCAGCAATCGCGACACTTTGGCACCGGTACCGACAACGACAGCCTCCCCGCCAGACACGATGTATCGCAGACATTTCAAGTCGAAGTGAGGTCCATCTTCTCCTCGGGAAGCTTCCAAATAGCGGCCAACCTCAGCGAGGAAAAAATTGGGTGCGAATGTTCTAACCACCCGATGTCGACTTATGAGATCGAGGAACAAGGCTGGGCGAGAAATGATCTCGTCGGGCGGGATGTGAACTTGATCGTGCTCGACAAATAGAGCATGGAGATGAATCTCGATTAGACTACCGACGTGGTCAAGGCGAATCCAATTCAAAAATGAGTGGCCAGTATCATCAACGCGTAAGGACTGGCTTTTGCCTTGAAGGGAAGCCAAGATCTGATTATGCGTTAGGGACACAACTTTTGGTAAACCAGTACTTCCAGATGTGAGCATCAACAAAGCAGGACTCCAGCCACCACAGCCAATTGGTACTCTGAAACTAGTTTCTGTAGTAGCGGCAAAATCGGCCGGTGAGTCGTTCAATGATTCTATAGTCACAGTGTGCAGAGGGGACTTTTTTGGAAACAGGATTTGGAGGCTTTTTCGAGTGAGACAGATAGGATTATTGAACAGCTCGCTCAAGTGACACAGATGCCTTATCCGGTGATCTTCACTTCGAGGTAGAGCAGTGGACATTGCAGGGATGTAGCCGGCATATAAGGTAGACCATAACCATATGATATTGTCCAGATGATCTTCGAAGTGAAGTAGTATGACAGAAGACTTGGCGTCGCACTGCAGCCGGCGCAGTTTTATAGCATTAGACGTAGCCAATGAGTCGAGCTCTGTGTAACTCAACCTCGTGGAGGAGCCGATTCCAGAAAGGCCAGGAGAATAAGCACAGACACCACGGAGCCCCTGATTATCTGCTGCTTTGCGGAGAATGTCTGTTAAGGAGCTCAAAGTCATTGTGTAAGAAAAATATGGTGAATAACGAAGTCGGGGCTCGAATAAAATCACAGAGATATGACAAGGATTCGTGTCGGAATTGAGAGAAAAGAAGGGTCCGATGTTATTATCTGCGAGTTCTGGAAGTATGCATCAAGATGTGCCATTTTATACTTCTCAAGATACAGACAAAGATCAAGAAACAACATTTTCTAATTTTATCTTGCTTGCGAATAATCCGCATGGAAGATGGCATCGCTGAAATCAGAACACGGTCTGAAAAGAGGAGCAAGCAGGGTTTTCCTGGCGAGTATGTGACGATCTGCCTCCCATGCTGCTTGACCTTGTGTAGCCAAAGTATCGCATCGGAGAACCTACCCAGGAAGGAGATTACGCATATCATCAGACCAATCTCTGTTTGACTGGAGAGCAGCGTCGCTGGCCCACTGGATGAGGTTACATTTTCCGTATTACCTCAGCGTTGGCAAATGCCGAGATGAGAAACGATAGCAGGTGCAGGTGCGCTTTCCTCTCTCCTATTTGGTTTTATTCACATCTTCCTCCGTACTTGTTCCCAATTCGGATGTGGGACAACGGATTGCATCAGCGAGGGACGATCGTTTATCCATCCATTGATACTATAGAAAGCATTGACACTCCTTTCCTGATATGACCAGTCCTATGTCATAGTTGCATGGTTTCGGTACGGTCACTCGGTGATGATCGGAGTCAGACTCGTGAGAGGATAGGATAAGACGATAATCAATGCAAGGGATTGTGCCCATTCACATGACCCAGATCCCGGTGACTTGGGTTAAACATGAGACACTGATTCTTGAAGCTATTTATGAGGCCACGATACATTGATGTATAGATGGGTTTGCGGCACCAGTCAGCAAAGAAATCAAAACTTGACCCTGCTAGCTCTATCGGGCTGTATCATTCATTTCAAAGGTAGCCAGAAGAATGTATCGGCCCTCAGAAGAGGCAAGGAGGATTTTCGATCTTCTTCGTCAGAACTCGGAACGCCTCGGTCTTCCAGTCGATATTCTTACTAGCCAAGTAGAATTTCATTCTTATTCAGATACCATTTATTATCCGATCCCTTTCAAGGTCACAGAGACCCTGGCTGCTCTCAAGGGGATAGAAGGGGCCCTGGCAGCCCTGATAGCGGATCTACAAACACGGCCTAAGCCACATGAACGAAAGACCACAATCAACCTTGAAAGGGCGACGCTCTTTGGCTTTCAAGCACTAGTCACGAAGATCAATGGATACTCTCGGTCTGATCCCGAGGTCAAAAGGTACTTGAAAGGTGAGACAAGTCGCTCTCTTTTCTATGATGCAGGGAGCGGGGATTGACAGCATGAAGATACGGATATCCATGCTGCACAATCAAATCCGTATCGGCGGATGGCAGCCAGTATGTATCAGACCAAGAACGATAACGAGTTCTTCCATCTGCATGGCTCTTTGAACCCCACTCCCACTCTGAATATGATCGGTCTAGACAGCCACTGCGCGGACCTCACTGACTACGATGAGATCATAAATACTATTCAAAGCCAAGTTCAGAAGTTCTCCGCAGCTGAGCTAGAGACCCTCAATGAGACTTATCGGCAAGCAGGGGTAACGGTGTATGAGTATGAGGAATTCAAAAACACCCCTCATGTAAGGTGATCCTTGCAGCTCACACGGACAGAAAAGCCAAAGTATACTCACATTACTGGGCAGGGTAGAACGAGCATCCAGGAACCATGGTGGAAGGTCATCCGCCTGCCAGGGGAGACACCTCCAGCGTTGTTCAACCCTAGTGAAAGTCCTAGGATACTCGAAGGCATCAAGGTCTTGGAGCTCTGCTGTGTCATTGCAGGACCCATCATCGGTCGTACATTAGCCGAATATGGAGCGGATGTCTTGAAGATTACATCACCAACGGTGCCTGACGTACCATTTTTTCAGGTCGACAATAACATGGGCAAGTGCGCTGTGGAATTAGATCTCAAAACTGACGAGGGCCGCCGCCAGTTCGAAGCCCTTCTCGCTGATGCTGACGTGGTCATCGATGGTTACCGCCCTGGTGTCCTTCGAAAACTTAGATACAGTCCAGAAAGTATGGCCGCTATGGCAGAAAAGCGTGGAAAAGGCATCGTCTACATAGACGAAACCTGCTTTGGGCACGAAGGCGAGTGGTGCCATCGCCCAGGATGGCAACAGATAGCGGACTGCGTATGTTACACACAAAATAAGCTGTGCAGGGACATTCCAAATACTAACCTGCAGATAGCTTACCGGATTTGCAAGGTGCCATGGAAGGTTCCTCGGCCGTGTGGAACCCATGGTATCCCCGTTGCCTATAGCAGACTCTGGCGCCGGTTGTATGGGCGCCATCGCTGCCTTGACTGGTCTTTACAATAGGGCTCGATATGGGGGCTCGTATATTGGCCAAGTTTCCTTGATGCAGTTTAACTTACTGCTCTACGCTTCCGGAAAGTATCCTGAGTCAGTGGAGTCGCAGCTGCAGAAATCTTTTGCTCCTGCATTCTCCAAGATACGCTTCTGCGATAGCGTTGGGCGCAGTTCTGTCTTGGCATTAGAGGTCATGAGGGAACGATTTCCATACCTTTTTGTAGAAGCATCTCCTGAAGATCGCCAGAAGAATCTGACTGAGGTATGGTATTCTCATCACTACGGCGCAGACGTGGAGGTTGTGCGACCTGTGGCTGAGATTGAGGGGGTCGTGAACGGTTTTTCTCGTGCAACGCGACCAAACGGTGCAGATGCATCTCCATCCTGGGATTTCCCTGAAGAACAGGGTTCCCGGAAGCTTTAGGCCTATGCTACTCTGCAGATGAGACAAATTTCAACATCAGACAGAACAGGGTGTCAGATCCTAGGATTTTCTGAGCTAGATTACAGGGAATTCTACGATTGAAATCTGCAGCGACGGGCTGTGCAGAGCGTCTTAGTGAGCCAATTGGTTCTAATTTGAATTAGAGTTATAACTCACATATGTCTGCCCACCCTGTTCTGTGTCAGTATGCTGATGTCAATCCATTCAGTTTCCCAGCTCGGATTCTATCAAATCATTTTACGTAGATCTCAATAAACTTTCACATGCAGGCCCCCTATAATAGTAGGTTGCATACAAACCCAGTATCAAACAGGTCCTGGAGTCGCAGGTGCGTTGGTCTCGCCACGCCCATCCTGAGTCAGTCATGCACATCGGTTCGAACTTCCGCTAGTCATAGGTGTGCATTATGGATGCCTGGCCTGAAGAAGGCAAGAATTGAGGTCATCATACTAATAAATGAACCTTGTGATAATCCTGACCTTGGTTTTGGCTCTGAATGTAAGCCCTTGCTGCCCCTTTGCAGGAATCAGTAGCATATGCACCATGATACTAACGGGATATAGTTTCCGTGGCTAATAGAAGACAAGGGAGTACATATAGGTGTTGACCACCACATACATAGGACTTGATCCTGTTTTTATATCATATCCATGCTTTGTCATTGATAAAAAAATATCTCTCGGAGTTTCTGACGCTTTGCATCATCTTCTTAACAGGCTCACCGGCCGCTCAGAATATTGTACTGTCGCGGATAAACAACGTTCCTTAGCTACAAAACGAAGAATTCCTACGTCATCTAGAGAGCATGGACGCGCAAAGTAATACCAAGGCCTTTGATCCTCCAGCGCCAAGAGTGCCCTCTGACAGGCTGGATGTTTGGTATATCCACCATCTACATCTTTGCAATATTAAAGACTAATCAAGCATCTACAGGTCAATCGTTAACGAAGCAGCCGCCGTATCTCCAATCCAACCAATCGTAAACCTAGGACAAGGCTTCTTGTGAGCCTATTCCTTCTGTTCGCGTGGCTGAGCATATAGCTAATCACCAATCAAGTGGCTTTAATCCTCCTCAGTTTGCTATAGATGCAGCCAAGGAAGCCCTCAATAGGGTTGATTGCAATCAGTGCGCTCCAACAAGGGTAAACTTTGAAACAGTCTAGTTTGTTAGATAATGATTATACTGAGTTCAACAGGGCCGCCCAAGTCTGAGAAAGGCTATCGCGTCTGCTTATTCGAAACTTTTCGAGAGACAAATTGACGAGGGCAGTGAGGTGGTCATTACTTCGGGTGCGAATGAAGGTAAGCCTATAGATAAGATACTTCTGACCGGTTGCTGATCAACTAATATGCAGGCATGCTGTGTGCATTACTGGCCTTCATTTGTCCCGCTGATGAAGTCGTTACATTCGAACCCTTCTTTGACCAGTAAGTCTTTCACAAACAGCTTTTATCTCTAGGTTCTAATCAGTAGCCACCACGCTATAGATATAGAAGTGGCATTGAACTGGCCGGTGGTATTCCTCGCTACGTGCCTCTTCACCCTCCAAAGGACAGCAACAGGACAATATCAAGTGCCTCTGAATGGACCGTTGACTTCGAAGAGCTCGAGAAAGCCATCAACAAAAACACGAAGATGATTGTATGAGCCACATTCCTCTTCTATACTCCTTCGATATACTTACTAAACCAAAACCAGATCCTCAACACACCGTACGCACAATCCCTTCCACCTACACCTCACTTACCCAGCAACTAACCACCCAACCTGCAGTCACAATCCCGTCGGAAAAGTATTCACAGAAGCAGAACTCCAGCGCATCGGCGAGATCTGCTTGAAGCATGACCTCCTCATCCTCTCTGACGAGGTCTACGACCACCTTTATTATGTCCCCTTCACGCGGATCGCAACCCTCTCTCCTGATCTCTACAACCACACACTAACCGTCGCATCCGCCGGCAAAGCCTTCCACGCCACAGGCTGGCGAATCGGGTACCTGATCGGTCCCCAGCCGCTCATCAAAAATGTTTCCGCGATACACACTCGCATTTGCTATAGCAGTGTATCTCCATTACAAGAAGCAGTGGCGGTTGCTTTTGAGAAGGCAGACGAAAATGGCTTCTGGGAGCATAGTCGGCAGGAAATGAAGGGTAAGCTGAGGTCGTT